CAGCTTTGACTAGGAACATATCAATTTCTTCACACCAATCGATCGACTTTTCAGACCTTTCATGTGGTTCGGGAATTTTGCATTTGTCACTTCTGAAAGGAAGCGTCCTTCTAGATTAATGGTCAAAATCGACTTGCACTATGTCCCTTCAAACACGCCTCCTCGCATTCCAAAGGTGAACAGTAAACTATCTTTTGTTTCATGCTCCCGTTGAGCATGAATTCAGATTTATTTCGTTAAACAATTTTATCGTACGTTCACATTCATCATGTCTGATGAATGAATCGTAACTTTTAGTCGTTAATGTGACCGAATGGTTATTTTTTGAAGTAATTTCTCATGTTCTTTTTGCGACTACTTTAAGAGTCATCAGTTTTGAGCTGCTAGATAATTCTTTTGTTAGTTAAATGTTACATTTATCAAATTAACAATTCTTCATTTATCTTCATTTACATTCTTGTTACATTCTTCATTTCATTTATCAAACAATCAACAATTTTTCATCATGTTCAGATGTTTGTTTTTGTGTTTTGTGTAATATTTGCATTTGGTGGCATCGATTTGTATTTCCAACATACGACATTGTCTTCCTCTTCAATCGCTCATAAATGTACTTCCAACCAATGTAATAATTCTTTGGCAATAAACTTCAACACTCTTTATGATATTAAAATTGAAATGCTTGAAAGTGCTCCGTTCATAGTTTTCCAATGAAATTCTCAATGTTCCTGCTCAAAGACTAATCTTACATGTAGGAAATTCCATCTCCAGGTTATCTCTGTAAGAATAATTCTTGCATCCCAACGTCAAATTACTTCAGCTTGTGATTATCGCGCACCAACTTTGTCTATCACTGGCATCAGAACCTTGATCGCGCATCTTAACTCTCTTTCGGTCATTCGCTATGAAATTATTATCGTCGGTGATTTGTATTACCTCGATATTAATTACTGGATAATTCTGAGTACACCCAACAGCACGTCACTCGTCCCACCATAATCTCAGCAACGTTGGATTTATCATTAACAACTGACTATAACACTAAAAAATTGCCAGCACATAGATCCCCCCCCCCCTTCCAACGCCATCAAACTACAATAAATCATGCCCGTCCGAAATAAGCCGATTAAGTTTCCTTAAGGATGATTACGTCAAATCAAACATATCGCTTAGCTCCATCAATTGGTAACATCTATTCTCAACATTATCTGCCCCCGATGAATGTTACGTTGCGCTTGTATGCATCATTCATCACCTAATTCAAGCAGCAATTCCACAATTCAAATCGGTGTCGCGCAATCACTTACCAAGATCAAATCTATCACAGGAACCAAGAGGCGCTTATCGCGTAAAAAAAATTGGTATTAAGCATCGTAAAGAAATTCATCGTTACGATAGCAGCATAGAAAGGAAATTGTTAGCACGCATGAATACAAAATTACTTTATTTACGTTAATTCTAAATTGAATCTNCCAGACAAAATTGCTCAGTTTTATGATTCAACACTTCAAACATTCAAAGATGACACATCTAGAAGTGAACTGTTCGAGAAATTCTTCATTTCTATCTGCAATAACGCTCACAATATTTACAACGACAATCACCTCCCAATCCTGTCCAAATGAGTATTCGGTGATTGCGTACATAGAACATTGAATTGTATCAGCAAACAACTTAAGTCACTGCCAGGATCCATCGGTATTTCCCCGATGGCACTTCATACTTATTTCCTAGGAAAACACTGATTCAATTACTGTAACACATTTCACATTTTCTGTCGATTCATGCTATCGGGATAGGTACCGTCCCCCAGTCAGAAAGAAGGCCAAAGAATCCTTGCTTATTTTTCATTTATTTGGATGCTGTCAAGTAGCCGCCATAAAATTCCTTCAAAAATCATTTATTTACGAGTAATTAAATTGCTCAAGATGCTCCATTCGCTGTACGCTTTATTGAACATTATACAGCTTTTGTCCAAAATTACAAGCCTTCACAAAGGCTTAGAGTTAATAAACGAAGCCAAGTATGACGAATTATCATATTGTTGAGAAAAATTGTTGAGAAAAGTTCAGAGCGAAACAAGTTGTTGCGATCGTCAGGTTTGCTGATAACGAGTTGTCAATGTTGTTGATTAATATGAATTTTGGAAGCGATATGAAATTTCGGAAACATTTTTCAATGCATTTGAAGAATTCAAAAAAAATTCATATCGATGAATTTTTATTGAGCTGTCAATGTTTTTTCCTCAAAGATATAAACAAAATAATTGGCAAACAAATTAAGTAAAAATGATCAACGAAACTAAATGAATTTCCTCCTTCAACAGTGCAGCGTTTCGACTGATTATCGTTGCGATGATAAAACCAGTTTTTAACTGAATGATCACAACATACAAGTTAGAATTTCATTATAGTGCAACTTACCGAAACACGCTCGTGTCAATAATGTTCATTTTGTTAAAAACAAACCACACTGAAACACTTCAAAGTGACAAGTTCAAACATTCTGACAGCTTCTCATTAACCTCCACAAATGAACGTCATTATTAAATTGCTTCATTTCAATCAGTTAGTCAGTATTCTTAGTTTTTTCTGACTTCTTCGGAGCGTNTTAAAGGCTTATCATCTTAAGCCGAGTACTGTTATTCTCAGATATTAGAATGATTTTAACGATCACTTTCTTCTGTAAGAGAATCATGAATGTCAAATCCAATCCTTTCATCTTTTCATTCCTGAAAGAACTGATTACGAATGTGGTTACATTAAAGGTTTATTTGAAGTTCTCGAATATTCTCGTGTATTTCAATAGATTGCTATTTTTGGCTAACTTAAAAATAGAATTATGAATGTCGCTCGCATCAATGCAAACTGTAGTCTTATGGCATGGAAATGACGCAGGCCTGAAGAAGTACTGAGAAGATTTTCAACAGATGAGAATTGAGTTTGATTTTGTTAAATCAGCGTCTCGTTCTCAGACACGAAGCAGCCGTAATCACTTGGCTGCTAGTCGTTCGTTGAAAGAATAAAATTGGTTACGTTGCGAGTTTGAATGCTGTAACCCATGGTCAAGACAAGTGCCGTAAACAGTCTACTCTATGAAATTTCGAGCGTTCCTTTCAGTGTCGTAATGCCTAACGGATCATCTCCTATGAGCTGTCACAATAAGGATCCAAAAATTGTTCATCGAAAGGAGATCGACATATTTAGGGAGAGGGTTCGGGATCTGTTGAAAAAGTACCCAGCCTATAATACGGATTATACATTGGTACGTTGGCTTCACGGTTATAAGTTCGACTATGGTAAGTGTATCACTTATTTCTGTGCCAAATCGTAATCAGGATTTTTTTTCACGTATACCCGTTCCCCGGTAAAATCAACAAAATGTGCTTCCCTAGTTTAAAATATCCACAAGTTTACAATCTGTGCATCCAGTAACAGATCGACTCAACTGATGGACTTGTTCCCAATCTTCAGCTGCACTGTTTGGGGTATACCGTGGAGTTCAGGCTGAGATTTACCGCGAGTTTAGGACGACAATTAACCTTGAAGTCGAAAAGTTTCGAATTACAGAGACAATATGATCTGCGAGAAAATAGTTCACAGTGTTTTCCAAAGCTGCATAAGTTGAAAAAAAAAACAGTCAAAAAATGTATTATTAAAGCAAACTGAAACGGTCTAAAGCGTCCCTTCTTTGGCATGCTGGCTTTCCTACCGTCGGAATTTGGTTCGTGAGTGCTTTTGGTTTGGCCATTTTTTGCTTAAGAGGTTCGAATCGATGATATCACCGCACCAAATTTTTCTCGATTTTTCGTTTGAAATGAACTCGAAGGACTCACGTATCCAAGTGCTGAAACAATTTTTCGGTTTCATGTAGGCTCTGTCAAATTTGACGATCCGTTCGAACGATTGAATATTGTAAACTTCAGAAATGGCAGCGCAAAAAATGGAATGGGCATTGAATACAATGAATGCTGTTGGTGTATTTGACATGGATTTGAGCAGTGTCGATGCAGTTCAGAAAGCAGTTCGTAGTATCACACCGATTGCTGAGTATTTTCCAGGTTAATGATTGTTGGCCACAAGCAACAACTTAAAGTTAAGAAGTGTGCATGAAATTCATCGCAACTTAATGAGTGCCAATTGATGTGAATATCAAACGAAATGTCATCGACATTGCAGGAGGCGTCATTGGATACGATAAGAACGGCAACATCATTAACATGCACACGATGGGTCAGATCAGAATCAGAAGTTTGGTGGATGCGGAACGTGCGTCAAAGTTCTTCATCGGAGCGATAGTTGATTGCGAGGGTGCTGCCCATCTAATGCGGTTATTCAACTTTATCCTTATACGTCCAGTTCATCCTCAGTGTTTTGCCTTATAAATCCAAATTTTTTGTCGTAATTTTATGGTTTCTTTCCATCTTATCAATCGCCTCTTCTCACCAATTCTCATTGAATAAGACCATGAAGTCAGAATAGAAATTGACTGTGAATGATTCGAGTTTCAACAAAAAACACAGCATGCTGGTTTGAAGCGTTCCTCTCCATTGAAGTGTAGATTTATGAACTTTAAACTTTCATATTCGCACGATAAGAATTACGTCGTGAAGTGTAAATTGCAGAGCCGAAGAAGCGAGAAGGGGAAAGAAGCTTGGAGGGATACTGATTGTTGATCTGAGCGGTTTCTCATACGATGTCATTCTTCACATTCCTGCCACTAAAATCTACATCAATGGACTTTTACTGCTTCAGGCGAGGGAATTTCAATTTAGCGAAACGTTTTTAAATATATTTAGAAAATTTTAAATTTAAAAATGCACATTCAATGTTCACACTTATTGCACGATTCAATTCTCCCGGTTCAATTGTGACTACAGTGAATGAATAATCTTGCTTTTATATTATATTTGCATTGAACAGTGACAATGTTCAGGTTTTGTTCCCCGATACAGCCATCAAGTTATACATTGTGAACGCTCCTCTCGTAGTTAACGCACTTCTCAAAATGGTTCTTATGGCTTTGTCTAAAGTGAGAATTGAGCTTCGTCAGTTTCGTTTATTCCAGTTGTGGTGACAATACAACCAAGGAGTTCAAAATATTCCACTGGTTCTCAAGATTTTCGGAACGTTTTACTTGTTATTCTATACTTTAGGAACATGTTTTAATTGGTCGTGAACTTGTTTGTTCCATACTGTAATAACACTTCAGTGTGAAAGAGCAAACTCTCATTTTACAATGGCACTCATCGTTCATGTTGGAAAATAAATTCATTCATATGATGACATGTTCTGAGCATTTTCTTTCTGCTCGAAATCCATGCAATTTTTCTAGGATACAGTGGAAAAAGTCGAGATTCTGGGTAGTGATTGGAAGGAAATTTTGACAGAACGACATGGAGCAGAAAACTTGCCTGAAAGCTGTGGTGGTCAACTGAATGGTAGTGTGTTGAGGACAGGCGGTGAAGTACCAGAAACTGTGAAGTTGGTTGATGAATTCTTGTGGTAAACATCCTTAGCTAATGAGCACCGTATCTTTTCACTGACACCTTTTGTGAAGAAACAATATTGCTTGGACGAAATTATCTGCTGATTTTTATTCAGTGGGAAGATGATATCTTCGAAATTGATTGAGAGAATAAAGAGACACTGCTCTGCAATTCCAGAGAGAGTATCAGGAAAGTGCATTATGAGAAAGATCAGCTGACTAAAATTCGCGTGAGTGCAGGAAGCGAGAAGCATATTACGTTCAAGGTGGACAAGCCACTCAGTAAACTGCATTGGTACTTTGTTTGTTCTTCAGGCGATATTGATTTCTCAATTACCTACAAAAATCGTGAAGTGAGTCTTCATTGTTTTGCATCACCTCTTCAATGGAACACTTGTGCACACTTACCTTAATTGATGATTAAAATGCTTAATTGAATGAGTGCTTTCTTCAAAGTGCTAAGTGATTCGGTGCCTCAAAAATTTTATCTGACACAGTAATATAAGAGAGGTGAGCCCTATAAGAGCAGTGTGATGTTTTCGTTACGTCTAAATCTTGCCCTGAATATCAATGTGCTATGGAAAATGTGAAAAAATGCTTGTTCAGATGCATGTATGTTCAGAGTCGAAATAAATAAAGNAACGAACAGCGACATTCTCGATCACCTCTTCGGAAAATCGCATTGATTAAGGCGTTCTTTCCGTAATTTTTGTTCAGTGCTGATCCTTTTTCTATTAGTTGTCTAATGAACCTTAACTTGCATAGTTCATTCAAGCGCCATTCGAATATTGTTTTTCACAAGTTTCCAGTACTCAATTTTCGCTCATCGCCTCACCTAACAGTGACGAAATTATTTTCAGGTGTGGCCATGCTTCAGGATTTCAACCGAATTTGTACCTGAATTCGGTGAGATAACTTGTGACGAAGCTGGGGAGTATGAGGTTCGATTCAGTAATGAGCATGCAATGTTGTGGAGTAAAGAAATCCACTATCGCATCCAAATTGAGCCTTTATAAAAGTTGGGTATCGAGGTGACCAAGTTATTTGTTAAGCTGAATTAATGTTTCATGTACTACCAATATATTAAGAGTTGGATAGCTGAAAAGTAGGAAACGCCCTTCGGATTGCTCTCAGCATTAAATTAACTAAACATTTTGAATCCTGTCATTTATACATCCGCTCCATAGATGCAAAGTTGTCAGTCGCTTTGAGAAATTGCAGTGATTGAATACGCAAAAAGTTGTTCCTTCATAGCGAAATCTCCTTATTTGTATTATTTTGATAACAGAGCAGAGAGAGCATTCGAAATCCGGAGAGAAAAATCGCATATATTTCCTTTCCATAATGAACTGATGTGATGATAACCGACGGAAGGTCAATCGGGAAAATCCGACGAATATCGGTCAGAATTCCGAGATTTGGAATCCGACTGAAGAATTTCGAAATTCTGTCAGAATTTCGGAATAACGAAAGGTCAAGTCGTCCGAATTCCGATCGAGCTGAAATTTCTTCCGGATTCTGACCGAAACAAACTCTCGTTAGCTTATCATCACTAAAGCACGAATTACTCATCAGCGTTCAAGGGATGCACCACCGCAGAACCATGCGTGTCCAATTATTTCTCCTGACCACATTTCGCCTACCGACACCTCGCTTAATGACATTTCGCCTAAGCAACACTTCACCTATTGCACATTCGTTCTAAGCATTCAGAAGTTGTCCGAATCCGTTGACACTGCTTTTACATGTTGTCCGGGCTGTTTATTTAGCGAAGGTACGATATTGTTACGCATTTGCGAATGCTGATCATTATTGCAAATTTTAACACCTCATCGTCGTTCATCACTTCTTTTAATATGACATTTACTTAGTGTGATTAGCCTGGTCATCGTGACTTTTGTTGAGAAACGTGTTATATTCTTGAATTTGTACCATTCATATCGGGTCTCTTGCTTCTGCGCTGAATTTTGTTTAATCCATAAATGTGCTGCCGAATTTTTCAAATCTTTTAACATGAAATTTGAAAAAATATTCATTCAAATATGATTAGGTATGTATTAGCGTATTTCAATAAACCTCTGGTGAACGGTTCTATGATCTTTTGTTATCCANAGAGTCTCATGCTATCCTGTTGGGAAACTGTTACGCGAGTGATGATCCGAAGCGGCCGGAGGGCTGTATTCATGTGAAAAGCAAATCCTCTGAAGAGCAAGGAATTTGCGAGATGAGCGCACTCCACCTGTGAGCAGAAATGTTATTTTAAGTGGCTCCTATCAAGCCAAGTAGCTCAGTTCCTCACGGTAAACCCATGATCTCTTGACACCACTGGCAACAGGCGGCTGTACCTTTGGGAAGAATTTGTACATATGTCATTAGAAAATAATGTCCTAAGGTATATCCAATTTTCTGCCTTTTCCTCATACAGCTTATCAAACATCTAAATACAGCTCTCACAGTGCATTTTCTTATTGCATTTCGACCCTCAAGAGACTGGAGTTCTGACGAATGTCACGGGCAGAATAAGCAGCTATGTTCGAGAGTTCCGTTACTCCCGAACCTCATGATCAATTGTAGAGTGTATCTGATGGAATGAGAATTTGACTTTAATTGTTGAGTTAAACGAATGAGAAATTAGCAAAAG